TGAAGGCAGGAATGTTCTTGGCTTGCACGGGCTCCTCTCCTGCTACTAACTCTTCCCCTGTTCCTTCTTACCAGACTCCAGGAGTCTGATGAGGAGATGATCCAGATCAAAGACAGGATGTGGAAGATGCCAGAGACACTGTCGGCTGCTCTGACCGCTCACACTTCCTGAGACCCCTGCCCTCTGCAAACATCTGTGGTGCCCCTGCTGGTCCTGCCACCGCTGGCTGGCACTCGGGCTCTGGTCTCAGGGTCACGTGGACTTTGCCCTGCTGTCGTCCTTTGTTTGGCCCCCGCCTCCCTGCCCTAGCAATCCCCGGCCGCTCTTGTGCCCGTACCTTAAAAGACTCCAGGAATCCCCCATGGCCCCCATTCTCAAACTTGTCCTCTTCTGGGCCCAGTCCCAGCATGGCCTGAGTGTGGGCGTGGAGTTCATCGTGAAGGTTGTCCAGGAGGGCGGCCCTCGTCCGGTCCTGGAAGGGAAGAGGGTGGGGGCTGTGAAGCTGGCACTGACGACAGAGCTGTGCCCTCTCCCTGGGGGGCTCCCGACACCTGGCCCAAGGGCTGTTCTTCTGGCCAATTGCATCCCGGCAATGGTACGGACCGATATCCAGGCTGAGATCCACTCTCACAAATGCTGCAGCTAACACTACAGCTCCGGGCCAGGTCCTCTGCGCTCTTCCCTCTGCCTCTTCTCCCTGGGCCATCCTGCCCTCCCACGGCTCTGCCCTGATGGCTCCTAGCCCAGATCTCTGCCCCAGGTGCCGCCTCCACGTACCCAACTGCCCGCGGCTCTTCTCCATCCAGATGTGCGTCCAGGGCTGTGTATACAGCCTCCAGGGGGCGCCATTCACACAGACCAGGACCAGCCCTTTCCACAACCCAGCCTTTGCAGGCACCTCCAATCAGCAGGTCCAAACAGAACTCCTCTCCAGCGGTCCCCATGTCAGCAAAGAGCCCAAGACAAAGGCCCAAGAGCCACCCCACCAATCCCACTTACCCCTACCCTTATATACTGGAGTCCATCAGGTCTTCCTGATTCTGACCATTTCCTGTGCCTGGTGTAAGCACACTGTCACTGTCTCTTTTGGACTCCTGTAATAGCTTCTAACTGGTCACGCTTCCTGCCCTCCTCACCTTCAATCTACCCTCTCTCCCACCTCCTCCTGAACTTTATTAGGGACTCATCACCTCTAGTTCTAGTTGATCTGACCCAACTAGCATCTCTAGGTGGGCCTCCCACCATTCCAGGCCCCACATGAATCCTTCTTAGGCCACATCCAACCCTCTGCAGCTCCCTCACAAAGTCATGCTCTGAATCTGCCTGGCCTTTGCTCATGCTGTTTCTCATGCCTGGAATAACCCTCCCCACTCTTTCCTCCTGGCAAAAGGTTCATCAGATATCCAGACTCAGCAGCTCAAGGGCCACCTCTTCCAAGAAGCCTTCCCTGAACACACCCTCCATTCCCCATCAGCAGAAGCAGCCTCTGTGCTGGTCTCCATCACAGTCCAGCTCACTGCATCATACCTGTCTCCCATCAGCCTATGAGCTCTATAAGGGCAGAAACTGTGCCTCACGTATCCCAGTATCCCAGGGAACAGAACAGAGCCTAGCACAGAGTAGGTGCTCAATAAATGATTGGCGAATGGTTGACTAGACCTAAAGTTTGGATGGAATTCCCGCAAGAAGAAAGAGCTCCATACCAACACAAGGCTGAAGGCTTAGAGGGGCAAAGATGGTGCTTCCCCACCTTAAACAGCCCCCAAGAAAAGACCTCCAGGAAAGGCTGTCCAGGAGGGCAGGAGGAAGATCAGAAACCGCGCTCTCACCTCCAGCTTTGCAAACTTGTCTGACTTGCAGCAAGCATTCTCTGCATTGGTGAGCTTGGTGAGGAGAAACTCCCTGAACTCCGGGCCCTGGAACAGACAAGACACCCCACCCTTAGCTGTTGCCCAAAGGGCTTCAGCCACAGAAAGAAGTAGGCAGAAGAGGGGGTCTGGGGAGAGCTCCTGAAAGGTCCCCTTCCGACATTTCATCAGTTCTAGCCCAGCCTAAGCCCACCTGCTTAAGACGCTAACACGGAAACCAGCTTCCCTGGTGCTGGGAAAAGCAACCCTCCACACCCACAGTGGCATTTCCATGACTGGAAGCCCATCTGTGCCCAAACCTCCTGGGACTGGAGCATGGCATAAAAACCCTTCTTTTAGCAGAAAGGCAACCCCAGTGACAAAAGGCCCTGTGCTGGACCAGGCTGGCGGCACAAGGAGAGGTGGGGAGAGACCCCAAGTGAGGAGAATCCCCAACCCCTGCTGAAGGTTCTCCCAAAGCTCTAGCCCAGTTCAGCCCCCCTGCAACCACTGCCACTCAGGTGTGGAAACCTGGAGTCTCGGACATGAGAGGAGCAGAAAGGAGAATTTCTTACCTTCTGGAAAACAGGGGGGCTGGGCAGAGGTGGGCCGAAGGTAGGCACGTCTTCCCGTGCGGTGACTGCGACCTGAAACACAGAAGCTCGGTGTGGGCCAGGAGGGAGAAGACCCTAGCTGAGGATGACGAGAGTTCCGAGCCCTGGTCCTAGGGGACCTCCTCCCCTTCTCCCTCCTCCCCTTCCCAGAATACAAATAAAGAACCATCATTGGCACACCCGACTCACTGTTCCTAGAAGTGGGGCTGGACGGCATGGAGCCATCCCCATACCCTCATCTGCATTCCAGGAGGCCGGAAGCAAGTTTGGCAAGATGACTGGACAGGGCTGAAGAGCAGCCTGGAACCCTAATTCTAATGTAGTACAAGAAACCAGGAGATGCTATCGCATTACCTCATTCGACTGGGATGCTAATCCTTCAGAGAAGGCACCGGCAGAATTATTAGCCCTGGATTCCCGATGAGGAAACAGATGCCCAGAGCCGTGGAGCCTCAAAGGCACACAGGAGATCAGCCCCAGAGATGAACTGAGAATCCAGAGCACCCCGACCCTGCTCTGGGATTCTTTCCGACAACACTGGCTCCCAAACCTTGGCCAGACGTCAGAATCACTTCAAGTGTTTAAAAATAAATACCGATGGCATGGGCTCCACCCCAAACCTACTGAATCAGCAGCTTTGGGGTGGAGCCAGGAAGCTGCAACCATTAAACGCACCCGAGAGCTTCTGTGCGGTCAGTGGACTGGTGTTTGGGAGCCCTGGTTTCAGACACAAAGGGTCGGTCAGGCCGGGCAAGGCTGGAACTAACAGAGTGCCAGGGCCCGGCCTGGGAATTGGGGGTGGAAGGACACCAAGGCGCTCTGTGTGAGGGTCTCCCAGGCTCAGGACAGGCCCCACACCTCCCTCTTCCCTCTCTGCACAGAGGTGCCCTGGTGTCACCTGTTCTCAGCCCCCGAGGCTGCAGGGCTCTCTGGAGACTCTGCCCTCTCCCTTCCCCGGCGGCTGCTGACGCGAGCCCAGCCCTGGCATGCCGCCAGCCTCCCCAGCCTGTGAGGTAGGGCAGATGCAGAGTCTGCCAGACCGGGTGAGCAGGCAGCTCGGAGCCAGGCCAAGGAAAGGCCGGCCAGGGTCTGCAGGAGAAGGGAGCGGGAGAGGGCTGGTCAACATGACTTTCTCTCCCCAAGTGCAAGACTGTCCCCATGGGCCACACAGCAGTGCCCAGAGTCAGGAAATGGTATGTGCTTGGCTGACGTGATTTCTGGCTGGTTCCAGCTGCCAAACAGTTCCCCCTCCACCACCCACCGTGCACCCGTGGCACAAGTCAAGAATTCCACCCACGGAGCCAAAATTGGGGGAGAGGGAGGGGGAAGGCCACTGACTGGCTGCTGGCGAGGATGAGACCAGAGGCCAGGCCCAGCTCTCCCCTCTTCCCACCCCAATGCCCCTTCCTTCTCAGGCTTGCATTGGAGTAGTCTGTGCCGACTGTGTAAGGAGCTGCAGATAAGCTCTTAAATCCACCAGAGTCTCCCAGCCAGACGCGCCCTCGAGCCCACTGCAGCAGCCGGGTCAGACAGGCGGGAGACAGGATCCTTCCTCTGATGGCGACTCTCTATCCCCACGCGCTCCCTCTCCTGACCCCTTTCCAGCGAAACACCTGGGCCTTTGTTATTCCCTCCTCTTGGGGACGGTTGGGTTGCCTAGCTGAAAGCAGAAGCTGCTTGAACACAACCTCACCTTCCTGTTTTCTAAATCCAGCCAAGGCCTCCCAGCAGGGGTGGGGGCAGGGCTTAGAAAGACAGAGGCAGCAGGTGACTCTGGGGAAGAGACTCTTCAAGAACTGGAAAGCGGAAGGAGACAGGGGTGTGTAAGTAATAAGAATACACCAGGGAGGCGGGGAGCCTCTGAGGACTCCAGGCTTCATAAGATCCCCGCGTCTGTCCAAGCATGGCCTGGAAGCCTTAGAGAACCACAAGGTTGCTCAAGCAGCAGACCAGCAGTG